TAAAAAAAATGTTCCTCCTTGGTCAACCTATTGTGTCCAAAATTCAATTCTTCTTCACTCATGTGTTTGAGGCTTAGTGTAGTGTTTTTGTCCAATCTCACGAACGAACCAACCAAGCAGACCCTACCTCTGTGTCCTTGTGAGAATTGAATGCTCTTGCGGACCCTCCAGGTGATGTTCGCCATGAGAGAGTTGTCGGGTCCCTTGACGCCGCTCATCGGCATGGTGACCTACTGCTCCTACTGCAACGAGCCTTTCTCCTTGGGGATACTGCAGCTCCTCAAGGTAAACCGCCGCACAACCTTCCCACGTCGCCTCTCTTGATTTTTAACCCATTGTGAACGGTTTGCGTCCCGGCAGACGCAGCTGGAGACGGCGCCGCCTCACGAGTTGAAGAACATCTTTCACATGCTGCAGGAGCTTCTGGTGAGTCGTCAGGCAACCTCGCGTGACACACGTGCGTGTCACTGACACGCTGATGAGCGTCAGTCGGTCTGTTTCAGGTCGTGGAGGACCCTCTGCAGTCCCAGAGGCTCAAGTATGCCTTTGAGTCAGAGAAAGGCCTGCTGGGTAAGTCACTGATCATCTCACCCAAAAGTGCTTAATATTAAAATTAAAAAAATTGATTGATCCAATTTTGCCAACCTGCTTTGTTACCCTTCCTAATTTACCGAGCTGCATACATATAAAAACCTACTCTGTGATTTTTTTAAAAAGCTGTCTGAAGCTCTGTCCCTTGCGTCCGCAGCTTTGATGCACCAGAGCAACAACGTGGACAGCAGACGTTGCTACCAGTGTGTCAAGTTCTTGGTCACGTTGGCCCAGAAGTTCGTAACAACCACAGTGATCCATTCACATCTACTCTATAAAGTATGTACAAGTAAGACAAAGCCCCACATTTTTGCCACCAGGTGTGCTCCAGCCAAGGATTATTTCAAGGACCTGTCTGGTCACTGGAGCTGGGCAGTGCAGTGGCTCCAGAAGAAGGCACGTTGAGATGCATTAAAAAAA